TCTAATCCCTTAAAGAAAAGAACAATCCATGAGATTTGTCATGGAAGTAAATATCATCAAAGGCAATAAATATCAAAATAAATTCAAACTACATTTCTAGTTTATGATCCACACAGTAATTTTTCCAGAAATTTATGAGAAACCTTTGTCTGTTTGCCTGAAACAGTATTTTACTCATAGATTGAATTATTGGAGCCATGGGAATAAAGGTTCAGCGTCCTCGATGTTTTTTTGACATTGCCATTAATAATCAACCTGGTAAGAAAATCAGTGTTCCTATTTAACATTTACAAATGAGTATTTAATATTTTAAATTAGTAAAGAAGTTTAAACGAACTACCTTTTTTTCAGCTGGAAGAGTTGTCTTTGAATTATTTTCTGATGTGTGCCCCAAAACGTGTGAGAACTTTCGTTGTCTTTGTACAGGTATGTTGACATTTTTCAATTGCACTAATAGTAGTCCCACTTGACTATGGCTTGCTTTAGTTTTTTATTTAACACTTTTTAGATTTCTTTATGCATATTACATTTTTCTCTTAACATGTAGATTATGCAATATTGACTGGGACATGAAAGTAATTCTTAGAAATAATAGTTGTAATGAGATTTTATCTGAGATTGATCTCTATACTTCAGAAAAACATGGGTGATATTTAAATGAATTTTTAAAAAAAATTCCTGAGGGAATGAAAAATCCTATAGTTTGCAGAAGTCTTGTAAGTTCAAGAGAAGTATATTTTACAGAGTGAAAGCTTTCATCATTAATTTTGCTTTAATACTACTTCCATGATTTTCTTTCTACTAAACGACCTACAAATTTTTCTTTATAGGTGAAAAGGGGACAGGGAAATCAACTCAGAAGCCATTACATTATAAGAGTTGCCTCTTTCACAGAGTTGTCAAAGACTTCATGGTGCAGGGTGGTGATTTCAGTGAAGGTAAGACTTTGGTTCCCACAAAAGAAAATCCTGTATTTTTGTTAAATATCATAGGTGTCAACATTAGTCATGTCTTAGTACAGTTTTCTTCTCACCCCATTTAATCTTTGGTCAAATAATTAAAAGTACTCATAGAAATAGATGAAAAGAAGGAAATGTTACCTTTGATACATGAATTAATTTTAGAAATTTGCCTCTGGATAAAATAACAAAATATTATATTTATCTTTTAGTAACCTATCAGTGTATGTATGTCTGATTTTGTCACAGCTAATCTTTACAGTATAGTTTTTACCTATNAAAGTAACTCTGGGGTGGTGAGCGCAGTGTGGGGCCGGAGGGTCTCGCCCCCAACCGGAGAAGCCTCACCTCCGTTGAGGTGTCCCTCACGGGATTTTCTCACGTTTTCTTTATCCATTCATCTGTTGATGGACCACTTAGGTTTTTCCATCTCTTGGCTGTTGTTACTAATGATGCAGTGAACATGGTGCAGTTATCTCTTCAACATTAGTAATTTGGTTTCCTATCTTTTTTTAATGTGTATCTGATATGTGCAAAATTGGAATTTTACAGACACTACTGTTTACTGATTTGCTTTTTTCACCTAATATATTATGAATATTCTCTCATTCATGGTTAGTCTTTGATAATTTTTCTTATTCAGTTTTATTTATTTTTATAACTTAATATTCATATGATATAAAATTGATGAGGCATAGGTTATACAATAAAAAAATCTTCTTACCCATTTTTTCCCAGCTACCCATTTCCTCCCCTACCTCATGTCTCTATTACTTTTTTACTTTCAAAAAATATATACAAAGAAAGTAGTATATACACATTTCTGTACCTTGCCCTTTTTTTTTGCACTTAACAAAATGTCTTACAGATAGCGGTATGTAAACAGCTTCCTCTTTCCTTTTTATAGCCATGTACATTGTACAGATGTGATAGGATTTATGTAACCTATCCCTCCTGTGTGGGCATTTAGGTTTACAGCCTTTTAAGCTACTAAAATGATGGTGCCTTGAATAACCTTATTTTGCAAATGTGTAGGATATATATAAAATTAATTCCTAGAAGTGGGGTTATTGAGTCAAAGGGTATTTAATGCATTTATAATAATTTATTTTGTTAAATTGGCAAAGGACTATATCGATTTATTACTTTACTAGCAGCAGCAATGTATTAGGTCAGTATTTTTTATTTTTGTCAATTCCATAGGTGAAAAATATTATCTCTGTAATTTTAACATGTAAGAATATGATTTCCAATGGCTAGATATATACCATCCATTTTATGAAGGTATCATTTATTTAACCAATTTCTGTTACTATACAACTGATTTGTTTTTATTTTATTATTATGAAATGTACTATTGTGACTATACATGATTTTTTTATACTTAATAGTTTAAAAGTGTTTATTATCTATTTATAACCATATAATATTGGTATCTCTTATTAAATATTTTTTTCCATGTTATATTTAAAAATTTTATTTTTTAGGTAGTATAATAGTCCATCATATGAACATTTTCTAATTTACTTAACTGTTGTGTTGGACATTTAGGTTATTTCTAATTACTCACTAGTATTAAAAAAAACAAACCAAAGAATATTTTATTTAAAATTAATGCTTTTCGAGAGATTCTAAGAGATTGAAATACTAAAGTATTAAAGGTTAGAATGAATAGGAATATATGCAGAGTCTCAGTCTGTAATGCCAAGTTGCTAACCAGAATTGTTCATGCTGTTTATTTTTTTAATTTCACTTTTTGTGAATTGTATGTTTATGTTCCCTTGGGTGGCCTTTGTGCTTCTAATTGTTTGGTGTATAAACCCTATGGTAGTGGTTCTCAAAGGTGGAAAGGGAGGGACAGTGAGAGTGTTTGTTTTTTGTGGTTTTTTTTGGTTTCACGTGGACTGATATTTAATAGTTAGGATCAAGGATGCTTAATTTTCTGCAGAGATTAGGACGATCCCAGTCAGTGCAGAATTGTCCTAGTGCCCCCATTCCTAAGCACTGTTCGACATTAGGAAAATTAATACATCATGTTTGTTGAAAAGATTTACCCCAATATTTTACTTTCTAATTTTCCATTGACAAATAGATATAAATTGTTTCATGTGGTCAAATTTTTTTATCTCCATTATTTATTTCATTATTAGTGAACCTGAAAAGTTATTTAATATCCAGAGTTTAGGTAAATATTTACATGTATTTTTCATAGTTTCCATTTTTGGGGTTAGAGTTTTGTAAGAAGAAAAATGATTTCCTAAAATTGTCTAGACTTAAGAACTCTTGAAAAATTTGTTGTACAGGTCTATATTCATTGTAGAAAATATGGGAAATGAAAAAACTAAAATAAAAACCACCTATCCTTTTACTTAGAGGTAGGCTCTTAATGTTTTCATGTATTTTCTATTTTGTTTTGCTATGCAGATATGTTTTAAATTTTATTAATTTAAATTGGGAAACTCATACATGGATATATTGTCATTGCAAAAATTCAAACGTTATAGTTAAAGCTAAAAACCCTCATTGACTTCCATCCCTGCTCCTGGTCTCTGCAAAGTACTGTAAAGTAGAAGTTTTGGTATATATCTCTTAAGACCTTTTTCTTTATTTGTAGATATAATGTATTATTTTAGGGTATAAAAAAATACTTATGTGCAATTTGCTTTCTTTTTTTCCTTTTCAACTAAATAGGGGTTTTTTGTTTGTTTGTTTGTTTGTTGTTTTGTATAATGCCAGTATTTTTTATTGTTTTTAGGAAGTCTATGTCCATAGTCTGCTGGAGGATTGAAAGGTTATCTTTTTTGCTTTATTTTACATGAAACAAATTCTAGTATCTATTAGATATCTGGTAGAAATTTTTTTAAAAAATGGATGAAGTTATGAGAAAATAGTCTTTTCTTCCTGTTTCCATTCAGTAATGCTAAAAGTGACTATACTGGCACTTGGGCTCAATTTGAATGCAACATAATCTTATCTTTTATGTAATTTAATCCCTAATTCACATAACATTAAACGAATGAATACATGTAATTTGCATTTTTCATATTATTAGTAATTGCGGCCAAGGAGTTGGTAATTTGGGCAGTCTTCTTTTATTGTTGAATATTCTGACTTGTGCTTTGTGGGGTATGTAAAATTGATAAGGGGTGATGGTAGATACGTGAACCAACACGTGGATAAAATCGTGTAGAACTAAATAAATACAAATGCACACAAATGAGTACAAGTAAAATGGGGAAATGTGGATAGGATAAGTGGATTGTATCAGCCTTTCTATGCTTCTGTGATACAGTTATGCTACTTACTATACTAGAGTTTTGTAAAACCTTACCATCAAGGGGAACTGGGTGGAGTACACACTGTATCTTCCTGTATTATTTCCAACAACTATGTGACTGGGTAATTTTCCCAATAAAAATTTCAATTAAAAATTGATAAAGGGAGGAATGAATCT